CCAAATGATTTATACAGGGAGACACTTCAAGGAAGATTTTTCATTTCAAATGCTGTTGCTGCTTGGGACTGGGAGGATGCAAGACATTGTTCTCAGCTTTTCCTGAACATGTGGCCTCCAGTTAGGAGCCCATTCTGACACCCACAGATACAAGCGGATTTCCTGTGCATAGTGATGAGTTGTTCGAAGTGCGCGCACAAGTTCCTCCTGCCAGGAACACCCTTTCTTCCCCTCTCAGCTGCTGTCCTGGTGTGCACACAGTCACGCTTCATTATTCATGAGAAGCTTTTTCTGCTGAAAACCAGGGTGTTTGGTGTGCTACTGACCTCTGACCTTTCCAAACAGCAGGAACGAATAATTCATAAGGAGTGCAAATGGAAGCAGGACAAGCCACCTGAGGCCTAGGCATGATTGCTGTCTGGGGGGACCTTTCCTGCTCTCCTGGGAGTCTCGGTTACGAGCAGCTCCTCTGTGCCCGAAACCTAATTCAGCTTCTACTCCATCACAGGCATCTCACACCTTCAATAAAATCCCACGGTGGGGCATTCTGCAGAAGGGACTGACGCTATCACCTTTCAGATGGAGGTCTCTTGTTCAGTGAGTGACACTTGGCATGTAACAAAAAGCACAGAACAAATTTGGCTGCAAGCAAAATGAAGATCTCAGCATCACCCCTTTGAAAAGAAATGCTTTGTATCTTGCCTGCTGTGATTTCCCAGTCACTGTTTTATCCATCTGAGGTAGTCTGAAGTTGATTCTGCTTTAGAGCATCCCTAGGTGGGAAGTCAATGAAGATATCTTTTAGACTCAAAATGCATCTTGGCTACTGGGAAGCAGTTGACTAGGTATTGCTTAACGATGACTGTGTTATCAAAATCCTGTAGTCTGCAATTATTGAATTAATAATATGCAGAAGTGCTATAGAGCCTAAGATTTCATACTATGGTCTGCATGTCAGAGCTCAAGAAATTTGTGCCCTCCTGGAGAAGCAGGAGGCTTATTATAGCCTAACAACTCATAAAAACAGAAAACATGTCAGCTCTGCATGAAAGTCTGGTTCCAATTCACAGATACTGACAAAAACCACAGGAATATGGTACCACGCGTGACATAACTTTTAAGGGGTGCAATATATTGCACATTACTGAAATATCTGAAATGCGCACCTCGGTTCTAAGTTCCTGCAGCCTTTAACATCTCTGTTTCTTCGACAGTTTGCTGAAAGAAAGCAAGTGCCCCAGACGGAAGTGCCTCTGGTCTATAGGGAAATGGATGCCACTTTCTGGAAGGCCATTCCACCAGACACTGGCCAGTGGCCCAAGGTAGGGCAGCTGATGCTGTTCAAGAGCTTTTGGGACTGAATTCATAGAATCACAAAATCACAGAACGGTTTGGGTTGGGAGGGACCTCACAGCACTTAGCCTCAACCCTTGCCATGGGCAGGGCTGCCCCCCACCAGCTCAGGCTGTGCAGGGCCCCATCCAACCTGGCCTTGAGTGCCTCCAGGGATGGGGAATTATGATTGTTCAAAGGATAGGCTATAGGAAAAAATGCATGTCAAACCTTTTAAAAAGGCAGAACCTCCCTTCAAGCTATTCACTGATCTTGGTATGTAGTTACTAAACTGAACAAAAAACCTCTATTTTTTTCATGAGGAGAAGAATTTAAACAAACAGTGGTGAAATGTCTGAAAATTTCAAGGATATTTAAAGATATAGTAAACCAAATTTTGAATCTAAGGGTGGAAAGAAAGGCATAAATTTGCTTGAGAGCCAGAACTGAAACTGTAAATTTGTTGTTTCTCCTATTAAAAAATATACTTTGGCTGAATTTGCTTATGCAGTCTAGCAGGGGCCTGAGACGGTTATATAGACAGAGCAGTGAGGGCAACTTGCAGGACAGACAGGCCCGTCCCCAAGGGAGGAAAGAGAGAGTGACCCTGCTTCCCACAGCTGAGCTCAGTGCTGTTTGGTGGCAGCAACCCTCCAGCAGAACAGCCAGCCCGTGGGTTGTCAGCATGTCAGATCCCTAATGAGACACACAGGACATCTCACCTTAAATACACCAAGTGTCTTCAAAAAAAAAAAACAACCTGAACACAAGACTCTTGCTGCTCCAAATGCCTCAGCTTGGCTGTGCTGGGGTCCACTGTTTGTGCTGTTTTGGCTAGCATTCAGCCACGCTTGAATAAAATAAAAATTCGGAGTCCATCTTTTGTCTGGGGCCGCAGCATCATTAATTGTTTCGGAGCGGTGTCAGGTCTCAGCAGATAGCAGAGAAGGAGCTACGTTTCTGATATTTTGATTTAAAATGCAACCCCTAAAATTATGGATTTAATAGATACATAAATATAGATGCCCAATTTTAATGCTCATTTTGTAAGAGGCAGATTCTGAGCTCTCTGCAGACCTCTCTAAGTCATGTTAGTAGCTCTTGTGATTTTACTGCAAGTCTTGAAGCAGTGAGGCATTTATCTGCAGGCTGCTATTCAGTCAGGAGAACAGAGTGAGAATGTCAGTTCCACATTTTTTTTTCCCAATAGATTCCTAGCGAAGTTTGAAAATGCGAATCTTTAAGTCCTTCAAACCACATATCAAATAGTAAGGCCTCCAAAAGCAGACAAACGCATTCACACGTGCAAATGCCACTTTTGCAGTGACTGGATATTTGGGACTGCAATAATATGTTTTGACAAAAGAAAGGGCAACAAAGTTGGTGAAGGGTCTGGAGCACAAGTTTTATGAGGAACGGCTGAGTGAGGTGGGATTATTTAATCTGGAGAAGAGGAGGCTCAAGGGAGACCTTATGACTCTCTACAGCAACTTGAAAGGAGGTTGTGGTGAGGTGGGGACCAGCATCTTCTGTCAGGTAACAGTAACAGGATGAGAGGGAATGGCCTTAAATTGCACCAGGGGAGGTTCAGGTTGGATGTTAGGAAACATTTCTTCTCAGAAGGATATGTAATGCACTGGCACAGACTGCCCAGGAAGGCGGTGGAGTCTCCGTCCCTGGAAATGTTCAGGTAACATGTGGATGTGGCACTGAGGGATGTGGTTATAGGGCATGGTGAGGATGCATTGGAGGTTGGACCAGATGACCTTAGAAATTTTTCCAACCTTTGATAAATCTCTTTTCTCCAAGGCTGAAACCAGCAAGCAAGACTCTTCTTCCCCTCTCTGGGTTTTGGCCAAGATCACTTTGGCCAGCAGTGATAGAGGCTTGACTCCAGCTGCCTTGCCTGCCTGCCTGCCTGATCTGAATCCTGAGGCAGAAAAACTGGAGCTACAGCACTGTCCCTGTGTGTCTCCCTGTCTCCACTGGGCTGGCTTCACTGCACTCCAGCACTAGCTGTGCCTCTCACCATGACATAGATTTAATGCTCTTCTTTCAGTGTGAAGGACCCAGTTAACCTCCCTACAACATGCATTTAAAGCTCCTATGGGGAACGCTGATTCCTTCTTGGCCCCAACCACATGCATCCAGACACCACAACAGTCTGTGAAGTGAGCGGGGCTTTGCACACCAGTTGCTCTGCCAAAGCAGGGGAGGGTAATTAAAGCACTTTCTGCTTTTTGGTCTAATTTTTGTACTGTGCTTAGACTGAGCCTTCACATGACTCTGGCAAAGCGTGTGCACGCTCTTCTCTTCAACTAGTACAAGAACAGAAAAGCCACAGACTGTCACATCTCTGCAAAGTCCAAATGTGTCACTCTGAGTGCCAAAAACCTGGGTGTCATTTACTTGACGAGCTTGGGACCCTCACTCCCAACTAGAGTCTGCACTGAGTCGCAGATGTCCCAGTACATCTTGGCATACACACTGCTTCCAGTGGGGGTCGTATCCTCACCTTCACACTCCTCAACAGTGAGGTTTAGACCATTATTGTTCTCCGTTTAATTCTACACCTCCAAACTGCCATTTGGATTCCTTTATCAGTGTAAGTAGTGGGTATTTGCAAAGAATTTCAGCATATCCCCCCAGGCTTTGCTTCTGCTTTGCCCACCCCTTGGCAGCAGTAGCCCAGAAGTGCTTTGGATCTGCTGGGATTTTTGAGCAAGGAAGAAGTGAATGGCTACTCATCAGCACATGTGCATATCTGATATCTTGTAGAACATTTCTGGGCAGTGGCCGCTAACCAGGTACCACCTACTTGCCAAACTACAGCACAATTGTTTGTTTTCCAATGATCTGGAAGGAAATAATTGCTCTACAAATTTTTTTTGTCCCTGGTGTGTACCAAGCACATGGCGTTCATACTGGTAACATCACCCTAAGTGGGAGCAAGTACAGTCCAGAGTAAGGATAACAGGATCACTCAATATTATTCCTCTCTATAACAGAAAGTGATGGAATATGTACATACTGTAGAATTGTTGGGGTTTTTTTCAATGTAGGTTAAGTCAATAATTGCATACAGAGGAGGGTACCAAAGCTGGTGACAGTGCTGGAAGGCATGTCCTAAATGAGGTGAGGCTGAGGATATTGGGCTGTTCAGGCTGGAGAAGAGGAGACAGAGAAGTGATCTCTGCTTTCTGCAGCTGCCTGAGGAGGGGAAACAGAGTGAGGTGCCAAGCTCTGCTCCTGGGAATCAATGTCAGGATGCAAAGGAATAGCACAAAACTGCACCAGAGGAGGATCAGACTCGGCAATGGGAAACATTTATTTACCATGAGGGTGGTCAAACACTGGGACAGGCTTCCTAGCGAGGCAGCTGATATCCTCTGCCTGTTCAGGAGGCATTTGGACAATGCCCTCAACAACATGCTTTATTCCATTTTTCTTTGAATCAAACCTAAAAAGATTTGGCCTTATTCTCCAGCTCATCATGCCCACCCACTCTTAATGCATGGGCAGGAAAAACTGTTGTACTAAATCCTGCCAAACAAGAGAGACAGTGCTCTGCAGCACTGGCTCCAGCGTAGGTTGTTTTGGAGGAGGTGAAGCAGCCCTCAGCCATGCCCTCCAGGCTGCAGGGCCAGGCACAGTCCCTTACTCCTTACCTGGGCAGGAGCACTGGAGGACAGGTGTGCTAGGTCCCCAATCCTAGCAGCTGCCCGTGGGTCGCTGGAGCTGATGAGGACGGGAGCGCTGATCTCCATGGAGTGCCGGTTGCTGGCAGCCTGGGAGGACTTGTGGGTCATGCTGAGGGCGGTGAAGGAGTGCCGCTTCTTGGCATTCTTCTTGCCCTCCACTGGTCGTGAAGCTGCTGCTGTTGCCCCCGCACTGCTTGGTGTGGGACACGGCCCCAGCCCCACTGCTGCAGCTGGATCTGGTGGTGCCTCACAGCCAGCGGCAGCTGCTGAGCAAGTCTTGTCCATCTCAATGAGCTGCTTGGCAGAGTCGTTGAGCTGGGTGCAGGGAAAGGGGACAGAGAAGAAGGAAAGAAAGGAGGCAGAGGAAGAAAAGGAAAGGAAAAAGGAACAGAAAGGAAAACAAGTGGCAGGAGAAGAAAAGGAGAAAGAGAAAAGGAAAGGAATAGGAAGGGGAAAAAAGGGAAGGGAAGGGAAGGGAAGGGAAGGGAAGGGAAGGGAAGGGAAGGGAAGGGAAGGGAAGGGAAGGGAAGGGAAGAAGCAGGAGAAAAAAACAAGGTAAGAAAGAAAAAGAAGGTAGAAAAAGAAGAAAATGAAAAAGGGTCAGAAAAGGAAAAGAGAAAGGCAAAAAGAAGGGGTAGAAAAAGAAAGAAAAAAAAAGGAAAAAAAAAGAGAAAGAATGAGGGACATTAATGACCCTTCACAGCTTGCCGCACCTAGGTCACTATCATCTGAGCACCCCGATTCTTTCCCCACAGAATGGATGCCACAGGGATGCTGAGCCTGCATGCATTCCAGTCCCAGCAAGAGGATGATTCTGGTCACCAAGGGGGTGGCCAAACCCAGGCAAGGGGGGTTCTCAGGCACTGAGGAACCAGACACCACAAATCAGTGCACAACTTCAAACCCTCTGATTTCCTCTCCCTGCCTCCAATCTCATACAGGCTATCCCCAGGCAAAAGTAATATGAAGGCATTCTTCCCACTGTACCACGCCAGCTGAGCAGCAGCATGGTGGCCCCTGAAAGAATTGGAATTGTTCGGGATACAGCTTAAAGAGTTTGTATAGTCAGACCACCTGATGGGTTTAGAACTTAGTTTGAAATCCACAGAGAGAGTAGATCACCGGGATGTCCAGACCAGCTTTCTGCCCACAGTTCTTTGTTCAATTCACACTTTCAGATACCTCAGGCCTAAAAATGCCAAAGGCTTCTCACCTCCTATACAGGCAAGCTACTTCTCACAGAATGATGGGATGGTTTTTAGACACACAGTTGGAGTGGGTCCAAGTGGATCTCTCAGCCTTTCCTCATAATCATCTTTGTGGCACTCCACTGTACTATCTCTAGTAGTTCCCCATCTATCTTGAACTGGGGAGCCCAAAATTGGACACAGTGCTCCAGATGTGGCCTCACCAGAGCAGAGCAGAGGGGGACGATCACCTCCCTCAACCTGTTGGCCACACACTTTTTAATATACCTCAGGTTACCACTGGCCTTCTTGGCCACAATGGCATTTTTAAGGTCCCTTCCAAACCAAGCCATTTTGTGATTCTATGTTTACATGATACATGGAGTACACCCCGCAGGCAGTAGCAGCACTATCCTCACAGCACTCATTTCCAATAGATCTTCCTTCGAGGGGTGCTAACAGCTGAGGGAAAATGCCGCATTTTGCCAGCAGACCTTTGCATCAAATTGGTATGCAATGCAATATGTTTGCATTTAATGAATAAAAACAACATATGAAAAATGAAGCCATGGCTAACACATGCATGCTTTTGCGTGCACTACTATTCTGAGACCCATATGAACCAAAGGTACATATGGTACTGTTCTGGATCAAAACAAGGCTATTTTTCTTTCTCTGACTACTGCATGAATTATGGCAGCATCCAAAAAACTCAGTCAAGGACAAGGCCTCCTTGGGCTACCCAAAAAAGGAATACTTGCTACTTGCTGTCAAGCCAATTTAGAAACCTATTACAAGTGAATACAAGAAGGGAAAAGAGAGGGATGGAAAAGATAACAGTACAAGTGCACAGTTAAACAAATGTGTAACTGAGAGGCTTTTATGGCTCCAAATCACTGCCAGCATGCTGCAAACACAAATGAGAAATAGATATTGCCAGCCTCATGCCAGCCCTCTTAAGTCTGAGAGTACTTCTGACTCCACGAGGACTCACTTCCACAAAAAGGCAACAAACACCAGCACCTAGAGAAATGTCAACCTTCAGGTTCCTTCATTCAGTGACAGCCACCATCAAGGCAAACAGGAGCCTCCAATTAGCGATGCTCCATGGCTGTCAGAGCCCTGGGAGACCTACTACCATTCAATTAGCAGGCCATTTTCCCAGCTGCACTCTCCAATGTGAGATCATGCTTACAGTCAGCATAGTGCGCTGCACCTGCCAATTTTTGCCAATAACAGCTGATCCCATTTCAGATTCTCCAAGAATGTCCATTATTTCCCACTTCATCATGCTCTAAATTGGTACAACCTAATATTTGCCAGCAGGCTCCAAGTTGCAGGAAATCCAGATGGTTCCCCTCCCTTAAGTAGGTGTAACAGCTCCGCTTACCCATCTGATGGAGACTGTCTAGTTGGATTATTTGAAATATTAAGGAGGAGAAAGACATCAAATTCTCACAATACTTTTCTACAACAGAGGGTGAGGAAATTCTTTGCTAGTCAACTTCAAGTGGGATAGGAATGTATTTTAGCTCTTTGACATATGAAAATATGAAGAGTTAAAAAAAATAATAAAAATTAGAATTTCCTGAATTTACAGCAGTGCACCATTCGGACAAAGCTCCAGCTCTCAATATCAAAGCTCTGATTCATCTTTTAAGAATTAGATAATAAATCCCAATGGCTGGAATCCAGCTTAACAATGAGACTGCTTTTTCAAAAACAACAAAACCCATTACTCTTCTGTTCAGAGTAAAACCTAGTTAAAAAGGGCAATAAGAGACCTAGCATCTAAACAAAGGGTGATAAAAAACAGCCTCTTATTGATATAAAGAAAGTCATTTTCACTATTGGTAGAAGATTAAAGGCAAAAAGAAAACCCCTTCTCAAAACAGTCAAGCTGATGAACTTTGGGGAATGTCAAAGTCTTCCTGAAATACTAAGAAAAAATTATTGTAGCCTGCCAAGATAACAAATGCTTTATAGCTTTACCACTTTATTTTTGTAGAGAACTCTGTATTTAAACAGCTTTGCCCATGAATGCTGGAAAGAACTTCCCAAATAGGCTATGAGTACCAGAGAAAAGGTTCTGCTTACTACTTTGTAAAAGCAAATGATGCTGTCCCTTCACAAAGAACTTTTAGAAACACTTTTTTTAACATAAACATGACTGCAAATTTCTTATTTTAAACTCTGACTATGTAAATAAACATGGCTTTCTAGTGTCTGTCATTTGATCTTCAGGCAGATCTGCTTCCAGAGGAGAAGCTTAATGGAAAGTTCTGACCCACAGTCAGTCTCAGGAATTTGACATTTCTGAAGACTGTAGCTCTTATGACAAACCCTAATGCAGAAGTGCAGCTTTCTTGCTTGTTTCTAATCTTTCCTCTGAAATTCTGGTCCAACTAAACCCAAATTGTAAAATGTCCTTGAGACTGCAATAATAGGACACCCCAGAAAACTCAGGATACAGTTCACTGGGACAGGGCTTGGCTTCAAACACCAAATCAGGCAAACACTTCCAGAAGCCCTGCATTCCCTGGGAAGGCTAACACCTGTGTGACCAACCCATTTGGCTGCTAAGGGATGCTGTCACATAAAAGGTGCAATGAAACATTGAGGTAGAGCGTTTTGTTTTTCTTTTTCTGGCTTTTAGACAGGATCTTGTAGATTCTCTACTTGAGACTTTACCTTATGGGCAGCAAAGGTGTCAGCATTAAGCTGCCTCACTCAGGACTTCTAGCTGCCAAAATTATTGCTTTAGTAGTCTCATGGTAAACCTCATTTTTTAGCAGAATACATTATGATGACTTTCGCTGCCTCTCTTTCCATTGCACACAACTATACACACACGTGTACACAATTCTCATCTGCACTGCTTGTTCCCAAGCAGGGCTGTCTGCCCTGTGTTATCCCAATGTGATCACAGAATCACAGAATCACAGAATTGCCAGGGTTGGAAGGGACCTCAAGGACCATGAATCTCCAACCCCCCT